AACACCTCACATATGAGACTCTTCTATACATATTTATTCAACTTCAAAAGACAGATTGAAGGAAAGGGGGAGAGAAGAATGCAAAGTTTAACATACTTGATGAGCTTGCGTAAATGGACGGCAGAACAGTCTTTGGGAGAAATAAGAAAAAGACAAAACGTATTAAGAGCTACAAGGGATATGAAGATGTGAAGCGCCATGATCGCCCATGTCCTGAAGGGACACAGCACATAAAAGACTCTTCACCACATACTTATTCAACTTCAAAGTACAGATTGAGGGAAACAGTGACAGAAGAAATCAAGGCGTAATACTTGATCAGCTTGGAAAATGGATGGTAGAACAGGTTTTGGGAGAAATAACAAAAAGACAAAAGGTATTAAGAACTACAAACTCTTCTCCACTTATTTATTCAACTTCAAAGAACAGGAAGAAAGCAGCGCGTTACGGACTTCAGCAGCTTGAGTAAATCGATGCTTTAGGAGAAATAAGAAAAAGACAAAACTTATTAAGTGATACAAAGGATGAGAAAATGTGGATGGCCATGATCGCCGAGGCCCTGAAGAGAATACTTTGCTTAACCATTTGAAATCATCTACTACTCCAGTCCTAATTATAAATTTCCTCATTCAATCGGCGACCAGTTTGTATTTCATTGATGTACGTCATTGAAGATAGTATGCATTATTTCGGAGAAAGTAAAAATAGATTTGAAAAGTTGGTTTAGTATATGATAATGGTAATATTAAAATATTTGGCATTCAATAACCAAGCAGCCAGGAATGGTTTCTGTTGACATTTCTAAAAGGTTCCTCTTTAGGAAAACCGGTTTCTCAAGACAAGTAGCTGTAATCACACTTTTCAGTATCGATAGGAGTTTTCTTCCTTTCTATTTGAAGTGGTGTGAAATATCAACATCTTGATTATACCATTATTTTTTTCTTCTTCGAGTTACATGTGCTATCTATTTGAGTTCTTGCTGCTGTTGGACGTCCTTAAATGATGCGATATCTGTCAGTTGCTACAGTTCTTTGTGATTATGTAGCGCCTGAACACAACATTCAATGCTTTATTCGATCAGATCCTTTTTCCCCATTGTTCTTAGGAAGAGGTTCTATACAGCAAAACAACGTTATTTATCATCAAGAGAAAAATAGCCAGATATTGGAAAGAATTAAGTGGAAACCAAAAAACACTAAAACCTTTTTCGCTTATGTGATTGCGCACTTAAAACCTTATACAAAATATTAATTGTAATTTGATTTTTTATGGTTGTAAAAATATCTGTATATGATAGAGGCGTATCCTCATCGGATAGAAAGCTGATCTTAAAAGTGACATAAAATCTTCTGGTAACTGGGGCAAGGAATGGCTTGTTAATTTCACCCTCTACAAAACGAAACTGTTTTCTATTAAATATCGGATAGATCCATTTCTGCATTCCATCAGCATGTCTGATGTTAACCTCCAGAAAAGTGACGCGTTACGCTATTTTGGGCAAACGTTCTCTTCTGGCATGAATTGGAAATATTATATTGAATCAATTGTTAGATATTCTGCTAGAAAAGCTCAGTTTACTGCGTCGTACAAGGCAATATTTCTCGCCAGAATCTACCTTACATATTTATAAGTTTATTTTTCGTTCATGCTTCGAATATCGCTACCCCGTATGGCCTTGTGCACCTGCTATATATGTGGAGATTCTTGATAAAATCCAAAGAAGAATCTGCAAGTAATTTCTCCTGAGTTGGCATCTTGGCTTCCCTTTCCAACCACCATAGTGTCTCTGTGTATTTTCTGTAAATACTGGTAATTTTGCTGGAGAATATTCTTCTATGGTATCTAGACGTTATCAATTTAAGCGCAATAACAGATCAGCGACAAAGTCTTCTCAATTTATAGCTGAAATGGCTAGATGTAAATCGTGTACATAATACCTCATCTAAGAAATATACACAGATCAGGCGTTTTTTAGGCGAGTTATTTGGTAAGAAAAATTGTTGTTTTGTTTACTTTTTTTAAATAAAAATATTATTTTATTTTCAGGTTATAAAAATCTGTTTCGATAATCATACGCTCCGGAATAATCGTTTAAAAATGTTCTTGTTGAATTGTTATGTTTTTTTTTTCATAAGTATTATTCTTTTAATAAACGCCTGATAATTATGCACGAATCCAATATTTGGAGATACTTGATAAATTATAAAGAATGAGCTGCTATGTTATTGATCCTGACCTGGCATCTTGTCTTCAGTGAATTTCCCACAGCCCTAATGTAGCTTCTCTGAGGATTGTTTTCTGTAAATATTTGCATGGTAATTGTTCTAATTGGCTTTTCTATATGCTACCTAGATTTTATAAGTTAAAACACAGTCCGAGATTTTCGGAAAGGTCTTTTCATTTTCTAATTGAAATTGCAAAATATAACCGTAATGTGGAGTGTTTATTCTCGGGTTCTTGATATCCCTTCAGATCAGAACTTCAAAACATTGACTTTTCCAACGAGCTTGTGTATATGGTTAGTAGAACAGGGATTAGGAGAGACAGCAAAAAGACTAAACTTAATACGAGATAGAAAGGACAGAAAATTGTGGAGAGACGACACAATCACCGGCACTGAAGGGACACAACACATAGACGAAGAAACGGGGTTATTGTAAATGTTTATGGATGTATTGGTTGGTGCATAATTATCAGGCGCTTTGTAGGCGAGTTTTGTTAATAAAAATGCTGTTTTGTTTACTTTTTTAAATATTATTTTATTTTCTGGTTATAAAAATGCGTGTCGATAATCATACGCTTTAGAATAAGCATTTAAAAATGTTAATGTTGAATTGATATATTTCTTTTTTCAAAAGAAATATTTTATTAAAAACGCCTGATTATATATATATATATATATATATATATATATATATATATATATAAAGAAAGAACAGTAAGATATATAATCCGGTGTTCTTATAGATATTTTTATTTTTACAAAATAGTGCTCGATGTAAATTTACAGAGCATTATTATTATAAATTAATTGATTTAAAATATGTTTTTTTCCGCTACACAGTTCTAACCATGTTTCAAAAATGGAAGCTAAAAGCCCCGAATTTAATTTTGTAATTAAATTAAAGACATTTGTTCCATTTCATCCTCAAGCGAATTTTGGAGTAACTTTTAAAATCACTAGGTTTTAAATACACAGCTAAAACAAAATTCATGTTTCCAAGGTTACAGATAAATCTATTTTTCTAGACAGGGGTGTCTAGGTGTTCAATATGTCTATATTTTAATATATCAGTTATTGTTAGTTTTCCTAGTAGGTAGGTGTGTATTTTTGAATGAATTTATAATCCGGTGTTCTTATAGATATTCATTGAAAAATACACCCCTACCTACTACCAAAAGTAATGTGTATTATCCGTCTTCTGTTTTTTTATTTCTCAAAAAAAAAAAGAATATGGGGTCGCTTGAAGAATATCTGGTAATTCAATTCACCAAACCAATATTTGGAGATTCTTGATAAAACTATAAAGAATGAGCTGCTATTTTATTGATCCTGACCTGGCATCTTGCCTTCAGTTAATTTCGCACCGCCCTAACGTGACTTTTTTTTCTATAAATATTTGCATGGTAATTGTTCTAATTGTATTTCTTATATGGTACCTAGATTTTATGAATTAAAATAGAGTACTAAATTGGCGGCAAAAATCCCATCATTTTATAATTGAAATTGCAAGATGTAACTCTTATGTTGACAGTTTCTTCTCTCTTGTGGCACTCTCTTTCGGCTTCTTGTTTCTCCGTCAAATTTTAACTTGAAAAAATTAAATTCATTTTCAATCTTTATCTTCTGCTTTGTTAATTCCTGTTTTTTTATTTATCTCAGAGTCTTTTTCCTTATTCTTTGACACGTAGTAAACCTTTGCATTTGAATGGCTTTATTGCATTGCTTGGTATAAAATGATTTTTAAAAAATGGCTGTCTTGAACCAATAAACTAGTATTAATTCCATTCTTATAAACATTATGCAAAGTATTTTGAGTAATTCGGGTATTGTTAAAGCGGGCATTATTCATATAATTGAAACTGCTAGATATAAACGTAAGTTCTGTGATGACAATTTATTTTCTCTTTCGGCTTCTTGTTTTGCCGGCAAATAAAGGCGTTTATATTAAATTTCAAAGTTATTTTTTTGTGTTATTTAAAAAACTTTCAAGGTGAAAATATTCTGCACGTCAACATTTTGTTGTCTTTTATGAGTTTCAATTTTTATTTAAGGAAAATAATTCGCCTAAACTGATTGGTTGGCATTATTCGAAATCCGTGAAAACATTCTCTGCTTATCTGTGATTGTAATTTAATGATTGCATTTTTAAAGATGACAACAGCGACGCAATCGTTTGTTATTGGATCGATCAAGGAGAAAGATGTGTCTCCCTCCCACCAAATTGAAATATTACTTTCCCCGGAGAAGATTCAATTTCAAAACAAACAATTACTTGAGACAGTGGATGGGCTTAACAGATGAAATGTTCATCAAAACAAAAGTTAAAAAATAGTAGAAAATGAGAAAGAGAAATCATACTTCTCTGTATCAAAAAGTAATCTTTTCAAAGGTGTTATCAATACATTATTAAACAAAGCAGAAATTCGTAGAAGATGATAAAAAGAAGCTTTCGACAGCAAATTTTAAATGAAATAGCGGATGATATTAAAAGTTTATGATGGGGATGTTGAAGTAATCTAAGGGAATTTGGCAATAAAATAATAAAGATCTGCGTGACTATCGGTTTAGGTTTGGTAGAATGCGATCTATTTTGTTATCTATGAGTTTCAATTTATGTTTTATACGAATCGATATCATATCAAACTTAACCTATTCCAGTGGAGTAGAGTTAACCGCTGTCTTCCTCACGTCTACTCATAAAGTGAAATTTTACCCTGTCACTCTGTAACAATCTAACTCGATTGGTCAAAGGGATGCTTACAAGGTGAATATTTAGAAAACATCTCTTTGTCTGGTTCTCAATCTATCTATCTATCTATCTATCTATCTATCTATCTATCTATCTATCTATCTATCTATCTATTGTAGTCTCTTCATAACTGTCTGTTTATCTATCTATCGATCTCAGTCAGTTCATCCCTCATCTCTCTCTCTCTCTCTCTATATATATATATATATATATATATATATATATATATATATATATATATAAAGTACTGGGTTGGTACTGATGGAATAAATTACGATAACTAAAAAAGAATATTGCATTTTTGTAGTGATGCTAAAACATGCTTATGTCATATATATATATATATATATATATATATATATATATATATATATATATATATATATATATATATATATATATATATATACACCTATCTTGGTCAGTCTTTTCACTATCTGTCTAGACCTGTCGTTATCTATCTATCTATCTATCTATCTATCTATCTATCTATCTATCTATCGTACCTATCTAAGTCAGTTTTTTTCATTATCTATCTGTCTATCTATCTATCTATCTATCTATCTATCTATATATATATATATATATATATATAATATAATATATATATATATATATATATATATATATATATATAATACCTAAGTCTGTTTTTTTCAGTATCTATCTATCTACCTATATCTATATATATCTATATCTATCTATCTATCTATCTATCTATCTATCTATCTATCTATATATATATATATATATATATATATACATATAATACCTATCTAAGTCTGTTTTTTCATTATCTATTTATCTGTCTATCTATCTATCTATCTATCTATCTATCTATCTATCTATCTATCTATCTGTGTATGTATATTATCCGTTTTCTGTTTGTTTATTCCTCATAATGTCGGAATACGTGGTCACTTGAAGTATATCTGGTAATTTAACCAGGAAAAAATAATTACTTTTCTAACTCCTAGTTACCGTATTCTTAGTCGAAGCCGAGTCTTCGAAGTTTTTACACCCTAAACAATCCTTTCCCTACCTAGAGATCCAAATTAAAAATAACAAATCTATGTTCCTACTACATTCGTCTCTCGTCCGATTGTGAAATATCCGGAAAATCTGTGTCGTGACAAGATTTATATTTCAAATTTCCGCAGTGCCAGTTTGTATTCACTTATCACGAATGCCCTTGGGAAAGGAAGTAATCGGGATAATAAATCGGACTAGAGTTTATTCCCTACATGGAGCAAGTATAAATTGCTGGGTGTTACTTGCAGATGAAATGGAGATGAAAAATAAACACTCATTCCTCCGAGAAATATCATAAAATATAACATGATACTGAGTGGCGTTGCACATAATGCGATTTCATATATACTAAATATATAAGCACACACACACACACACACACACACACACACACACACACACACACACACACACACACACACACACACACACAAACACACGCGCGTGCGCACAGACACACATACAAACTCTTGTAAAGTGAGCGTCAGCTAACAGTATAAAACGATTATATGCACAGGCGGAAAATACAACAACATTGATGTGTTTTGACATAGTCAAGATTAAACGGATGAAAATTATAGTTGGTTAATCATATAGCTTAAGAATTGTTATTGGAAAAGGCATGAACCCATTTTCTATCTCCTCTTAAACTTTCTTATAGAGTAGCTTGCAGTAACGTCTGAACAAGGACAATTCCGGATTCTAAAACCTCGGAGACGTCAACTGTAAAATCCCTCCACAGCCATTTCCAATGATTCTGATCAATTTACAATAATAAAGAAACGGAATATGTGGAAAGCCATGATCCCTTACCAGAAGACACGTCATTTAACATGTCAGTCTGAAAATAAATATCCAATATGTAAAAATTGACTGTTTATTGGCAGACATATATATATATTTATTTATACATATAAGAGATTTATACATATAAAAGTTATTTATATAAAATTTATAAATATAAAATTTATAAATATAAAAGTTATACAAATAAAATGTATACATATAACATTTATACATATAAATTATATATATAAAATAGTTATAATTATAAATAAAATTTATACATATAAAATTTATACATATAAGAAATCCCATTTGAAATATATCAGGCAGAAATGCATGGCCTATACGTAAACACTGAGTGTTTATTGGCACACACACACACACACACACACACACACACACACATATATATATATATATATAGATAGATAGATAGATAGATAGATAGATATGTTCATTTAGACATATTTATATGTTGACTATTCGTTCATGTTTCGATTATTGCTGCAATATATGCCACGGTGCTCCTGCTATGGATCTGGAAATTCTTGATAAAATATAAAGAAGATTCTGCTATGTTATTGATCCTGATCTGGCATCTTGCCTTCAGTTAATTTCCCACCAACTTAACATAGTTTCTCTGTGATTTTTTCTATATAGTTTTTCATGGTAATTTTTGTAATTGGCTTTCCTATATGATACATAGATTTTATGAATTAAACCACAGTGTTAGATTGGCGGCAAAGCCTCATCATTTTATAATTGAAATTACTAGATATAAATGTAATCTTGACACTTTCTTCTCGCTTGTGGTACTCTCTTTTGGCTTCTTATTTTCCTGCCATATTTGAACTTCAAGAAATTAAATTCAATGGCTTCTGTTTTCTTAATTCCTGTTCTTTTATTGTTCTCATATTCTTGTTCTTTTATTCTTTCACACTTAGTAAACATTTGCGTTTGATTGTCTTTATTGCATTGCATTTATAATTCAAAATTACTGCCTCTTTAGTTTCAGACCAATAAACTTTAGTGTTAATTCCCTTCTTATGAACTCTAAAATCACGGAGCATTATCTTCTTTTTTTTTTTTTTTTTTTCAAATCTATTATACTGCAGAGTATTTTGAGCAGTACGGGTATTAGTAAAGCAGGTATTATTCTGCTGGAACTATATCTCTTCTTTCTGTCAGATAGCGTTTGTATATATATATATATATATATATATATATTTATTTATTTTTTATAAAAAAAACATTATAACATAAGTATGTTATAAAATCACTACAAAAATAGCCATTTTGTTTCAACACACTCTGTGTCTTATCAAGTGATGATGTTGAAAAGAAAATAAATGGTTTTAAAAGTTTCAGATTAATTAACGATCCTAAACTAGGGGGAAACATTGTTACAAAAGCTAGAATAACCAATCAAAAACGAAGTATAGAAAGATTTAAAAGCTTGACAACGAAATCATGTTATAATAGCTATTCAGATCTTTAAATACGTGTAATATTAAACATAATTTATACTAACCAATAATTATAAAATTATATGATAAAATTTAATATTAAAATTAAAAACTGGCAATTTTAAAATCCAAATTTAATCACTATTAAGTTTAAAAACTACAAAATTATTGAAAAAAGAAAACATATATATGTTTATTCAATTCATTTCTTCATTGAAATTACGTTCGACAAGACGCTACAATATATCCGGTCATTTGACAATACATGTATATATATTTCATTCTTTTCCCGTTCTTTTCCTTCTTTATTTTTTTATTTTAAAGTGTGTGAATTTGGTCTTAAACTCACGCGCAAAACAACAAAAACACAATCAGATTATAATACATAAGCACCCAGACATAATTAGATATATACACACACACACAAAAAGTGGGGGGAGGTGCGAGCCATGAACATCTCTACAGCCCTGTATGAAAAAAGGAGACGTGGAAACCAACACTTATACACACACACAGTTAAATGTGAATACACTCTACATACACATAGACACCGATAGATACACATACATACATCCACAGACAATGACATAGACAATCAGATATCACAACCAATAAATGTTTCAGACTTAAATAAATGCTAACCACTTATTAAATTATAACTTAAGGGAGCAAATATACAAAGATAAAATGGTTAAAAATAATATTATTTAATATATTAAAACGAAAATGCCAAACCATAAATATCAATAAAAATATATATTAATCATATAAATTGATAATAGTTTCATTATATATTAGGCAAGAAAAACAGGATAAAAACCCACAGATACATATATATATATATATATATATATATATATATACGCGACAACAAACACAAATTAACACACATAAACATACACTCAGTACATACATATACATACAGAAATACATACAAATAAATATATAAACATAAACATATACACGCATATACATATCTATCATAACAAGTACATATGCACGCACATATACATATAAACCTAAATACACACATATATACACAGATTTTTATGCACACATACTTACATATATAAAAACAGTCATGATATACCACACATACACACAAACAAACTCATACATAATAGGTGCCAACACACACACACATATATACATACACAAACATACATAAATATATATACACACATACATACATACATATCTACAAATAAACATATATATAAATATATCTATCTACAATAACAACTACCAATATATACATGCATACATAAAAATACAACAACACTCAACCAAATACATATATAAACGTAGTAACATATAGATACATAAATATACCTTCAAATACCAACACACAGCAATATACATATAGCCTAACATACAAATATATAAACAGATTCATACAAACAGAAATATACTTAAATATAAATATACATACACAATAAAATAGGACACATACAGATATATACATATATACACACACAGATATATATATACACACACACATAAACACACACATACATATATATACAAATATATCGTGGCACAAAGCCGAAATTATGGGGCACCCAGTGAGGAACGAACTCATTACTCAGTCTCAACTGATCTAGCGAACCATGCTTGCCAACCATTATACCGCCGTGATTTTATAATTATTGGTTAGTATAAATTATTTTTAATATTACACGTATTTAAAGATCTGAATAGCTATTATAACATGATTTCGTTGTCAAGCTTTTGAATCTTTCTATACTTCGTTTTTGATTGGTTATTCTAGCTTTTGTAACAATGTTTCCCCCTAGTGTAGCATCGTTAATTAATCTGAAACTTTTAAAACCATTTATTTTATTTTCAACATCATCACTTGATAAGACACAGAGTGTGTTGAAACAAAATGACTATTTTTGTAGTGATTTTATAACATATTTATGTTATAATTTTTTTTTTATAAAAAATAACTATATCTGCTCTACTTTGTATTGAGCACTCTTTTAAGAATAGTAATTGTTGGTTATTGGAATTCATTCCGTATATATACCAATTGTATATATATATATATATATATATATATATATATATATATATATATATATATATATATATATATATTTCTTGTTCATCGAAAACACCGAAGTCAATTTAAAAAAACTATATGTTGGACTTGGGATGTATCTATGTCTAAGGGATAAGGGAACAGTCTCTGAAGATATCACTGTTGGATGTATACTGAAAATATCGGAGCATCAGTTGATCTAACACATCAGACCTGACTGTATTCCTTCTGCGAGTAAATTCGGGTCTGTGTTGACTCTTCTGTGACCAGCTTTACGCTGATCAGTGCCGTAGATTCCTTGTGGTCTGACAATGCTGCCATTACGATGAATCAACCTTTGCAGATGTATGTATAATTGTGTATAAAAGTTCCTTTGACCGCTACTAACTATATTGATTCAGCATGGTCACAATCTTCTACTACGCAGCATGTCTGTTCAGGATGTTGGCGATTATGACTCTCCACAAATTCCGGTATTTTGGAGATGTCAATATTTTTTCCATTTCTTATTTTTCCTAAAACTTTTTCTGCCATCCATTTAACAAGCTCAATCTTTTTCTATTATGTACCATACATACTCAGACACACTTTCAAAAGCACACACACAATATATATATATATATATATATATATATATATATATATATATATATATATATATATATATCCAAATGTAAAAAGAACGAAGAGTAAATATATATATATATATATATCCAAATGTAAAAAGAACGAAGAGTAAAATGTCTGCGATCAAAACTAATTTAAAACGGGGCTCAATACAAAAGTAGAGCAATAAATATCTATTTATTATGGACTGTTACATTAAAACATGTACACATTCACTAAAAAACTATACATCTTGTTTTTAGCGGATATATACATGTTCTAATGTAACAGTGTATAATATATATATATATATATATATATATATATATATATATATATATATATATATATATATGAAGAAATATAGTTGTAAGTTATGCTATATTTATGGGATGAAATGCTCAATATCAGAGATAGAGCGTATATAAATATAAATATAAAAGTGAACATTCAAGTCAAAACTCAGAGGCGACAGGCTGTTTCATGGCGGCCTGACGATTGCGTCCAGCATGAAACAGCCTCTCGTCTCTATGTGTTGATTCAATGTTAACATATATATATATATATATATATATATATATATATATATATGTGTGTGTGTGTGTGTGTGTGTGTGTGTGTGTGTGTGAAAATAAATAGAAAATAGGAAAAGAAATTGTTAAGTTATTGATCTAATGTTCTTTAGTATTTTTGTTATTATTAAAAAAAGAAACAGTGCTCGATCCAAAAGTAGACCCTAAAAATAATTATAATTATTTATTTAAAAATATGATTCCATCGCTACATAATAATTCTCATGTTTCAAGAGGCGAAATCTTCAATATAATTGTTTGAATTAAATTGAATTAAAGTACAAGGCTCTATTCCATTTTCAAGCGAAATTTTTCAAGAAAAAAA